TGAGCACCCTGAACCTCTAGGGTGGTGGGAGATTTGCAGACCTGCATCACAGAGTCCTCTATGGTGCCTGATCAGCTAAAATTGAGGCAGCCCAGGAACCAGAAATTCTGAGCTTGCCATGCAGCACCCATAGCAATGGGATGAATGAATGAACAATGAGTGCTGGAGCTCAAAGAAGGGAAAATGCATAGGAATGGCCAACCATACCATTCAGAAATGGCATAGATTTGAGTCACCTGTGTTCCCATCAATGTAGAGGAGTCAGATTTAGCTGCTATGAGGTAAGGAGGGACTGGCATGCCGACAGGAAGCTTTTCTTCATTCCTGACTACAGGGAATGCTCTGTAGTGAGATGATGAAAGTCTTACCAAAGGTCTAGGAAGGCTTTAATGGTCTTTAATAAGGCCATTGCTCACTCCCTGTGCATGGCACATATGCAAACTACACTGGCAAGTGCCCAAGAGAAGCAGAGTCCTCCCCATTTGGGCCTCTCCAGATGGCTCAGCAAGGTCTGCAGGTGCCCTTCTTGGTACACGGAAGCTCCTCTCAAAGTTTTCATGGGCAGAGTTATTATGTACCTACCCTACCCAAACTCTAAGGGCCAACTGCCTGGTTTGTGCACAGAAAAACAAGAGTCCATGGACTCCCAGATGACTTCTGTACACACAAACTATGTCCATTTTAGCTGGTAATTTGTCACAATGGGAGTAGATCTAAGCCCCTACATCTCCCCTCTATGCAGGACATGGGGGGGATATTTTTGATTAGATTTAGCCCAGTCTCCCTGCTTGAATGTCCTCACCACACCTGAATGTGGAAACTGCATGGTTTGAGCCCATTCTTCAAAACCTTTAGTTCTCAGTGTAGACTGAAGAGCATGTGGTGCAGAGCTGCTGGTTTAATGTCTTCCAAGAGGAATGTAGTTCACAAGTCCCTTTGCTAAGTCCTATCTGATCAGAACTGATACCATGTGTGGGGATGACCAGGGGATTCACCTGCAAGCATAGGCACAGTAAAACTGCAGCAAAACCATCTCTGTGCATATTTTCCTTTTGTGAAAACCCAAAGAGATTCAGCCTTTTTCCACTTTCTCTGACGCTGTCAAAATCACTGTGTTTGCATGAAAGTGAAATTTTCTAATGCACCAAAAAACAGAAAAGCTGAAAAAGAGAAGTGCAAACACGCTTGAAGGTTTGTACAAATTTACAAGAACCATGGGCAAACACCTTGTTATGAGGAGGCAAGGCAGCAGCCTACTTGCTGAAACCCTGGCACCAGGTCTGGCTCCAAACAGAAGATTCAAAGTGGTACATCACAACCTACAAATGGAAGAAGTTTGAGTCAGAAAGGGTAGAACTGAAGGTATCTGCAGGAGCTCCTCCCCTTTGGCTGGAGGGCATCAGCAGCAAACAGTCTATGGTTCACTGTGCTACACCAGGTCAGTGGGAAGTAACACTGTATTCTTGTTTGTAGCATGCCCAGCTAGCATTTTTATAAAGTTGTTTGAAATTAAGAGAATAAAGACAACAGCTTTTTTTCCCCCATACTCTAACCAATTCAAGGGTTTGAGTTTTCATTCCAAACCATTTGACAGTATCTCATTAACCTACTGCCTATAATAAATGTGTCCAATAACAATCACCAAGTCATGCGAAATTAAAAAATTCCATAAAATATAAATCGTTAATACTTGCAAGGTCATTTATTTTTCTATTCTAGAATTAGAGAAAATGAGGTCTGCCACTCCTGTCGGCTGTGATAAATACAAGTCCCAAAGCAGGCTGTCTAGAATTTCCAGGAATGTGTCTCTAACCTCACACTGCAGCTTTTCTAAAATTCATAATCAATATTTTCCACAGAAATAAAACATTTGTGCAGTTGAATCTGCCTGCAGTGTTTCAGGTAGCTACAGAGATGTAAAGCCACTCATCACTTGGCATCCTCCAGGGCACCTCATCAAAACCTGCCCAAGGGCAGGAGCCCTGCTCTCACAGCCATCCCAGCCAGCTGAAGCTGGGCAACTGCAACACTTACTGCTCTGAACCAAAGGGCAACATCCTGTTTCCACAGGACTCAGCTCTAAACCAAGTCAACCTGTCCCTCTCCTCCCATCTCGCTGTTGTCCCCATGTTGTCAGTGCATCTCCTATTTCCCCAAGCTTTGCTCCCCTTCTCATGCAGACTTCGTACTGGAGCATCCCTGAGCTCTGCATGGATGACGAGGGGGGACCCAAGTGCTCCCACCTCTCAGGCTCACCACGTGCAGCTCTGGAAAATATGTGGAAGCTCCTGGCTTCGACAGAAAACATTCATTATTTCACATCTGAGCAAAAAAGCTGGTATCAGGGCAGATAAAGGAGAAACATTAGCTACATACTGGTAGCTGACAAACAAAGTTCTCAAACCTAAAAATTCATCGTTTGGAAAAGTGTGGAGTCAAAATAAAATCATGTGCCTACCACAAAGTCTGTTTATGGAACCAATCACACAAAATCAAGGACTGCCTTAGTTCAGCTCAGAAAGAACCCCCAGGAACAGAAGAATAAAGTCATTCCTGAAGTACAAAAAAGTGAGATCTGACCACAGTGTTTGATCAAAACAGCTGGGGAACGGTGAATCAATATTGATTTGGGAGAGCTTTCAAATTCCCATGGATTTTCATTCATCAGATCCCCATGAATACCTTGTGTTGCTTCTTTCAACATCTAAATAGGACGTTGGATTAAATAATTCACCAAAAAAGAATTTCCCCCTCAGACATCCTTTCAATGTCCTACCAGGGTCAGACCACACCAGCTGACCACACTAACCAGTCTCCAGGAGAAAGCAGTCTCTTGAGGGACTCTTTTTAAAACACTTTTCCCCAGCCCTGTGCAATGGGCATTTCCTACAGCAAGCTGACTGAAGGAGACCCTCAAAGCTCTGCCCGGGCTCCAGGGCTCCACAAGCACTCAAACGCCCTTCTCCCAAGCATCTGCGTGCACTCAGGCTGTATCAACTATTGGAAAGTATCACAAGTAGGAAGAGAAAGTCTAATTCTAATAGGAATAATTTTGGGTTTGTTTTTGGGGGATTAGGGGAAGGGTAAGGTTTTAGCTGGTTTTTTTTTTCTTGGACCAGGATTAAGGCTGATTGGAATGATAGCAAAATTCAAAAATAAGAAGAAACAGATAATGATCTGTTGGTTCCTACAAACTGTGAATTAAAAAACTCCCAACAGACCACTTCAAAAAATCCATGCTGGGTCAGACCTACGCAGTGTTTGCCTCTACCAGTCACAAATAGCACGTTACCAAAAAAAATATATGGGTAAGGTAAATAAAATGTCACACTTCTGGTACAGCCTCCCTGTGCCCAGGCCTTTGTGGTTCAGGCACATGCTGAGCCAGTTTCTCTGTGCTCCTTGGTGTATATGAACTGACAGATTTTCCTTTGGTGAATGATGAAATGCATAGTGGGGAATTTTTTTCACTATAGTGAGAAACAGAAGACTTTTTCCTAGTGTCTTTAGAGGAAGGAAGAAATTGTAGGGAAAATTGCTTGGTGTCAGCACCTTAATTCCCTTTAGAGAAACAGCAGTAGCCTACGCATTTAACTACACTTCTGGTATTAAAACCAGACAAATTTCATTAAGCAAAACACATTACCTCTCAGCACTGATTACTGGGTTATAAATGTGACCTGCAGAGTGTGCATTAAAGCAGCAACCCGGAGTTGCTGGTGACTTTCCTGACACTTGAGTAGGTGAATGAAGACCAGAGATGTGCTCTCTGATAGTATAGCACTTTGAGGATGCTCATTAAGAACAGAAATTGTCTTTGAAAACATTATGTCACTCTGTGCACACAGCTGCAGAGAGTGGGTTGTGGCTTGCACCTCCCAATCTGAAAGCCCAAGAGCTAAAAATGTGAGGACAGAATGGCACAACAGGATCCCCTTTGAGGTGTAAGCCCCTGTTCCCCCCTTTTCTGTAATGTGTTTCCTCCTGATTTCCATTCAGTAACTCCTTAGGGAAAGGCTTCCTGGAAGACCAGAGTACATACATTTGATCTGTCTCTATGAGAGCAATTTTCTCCGAGATGTTTCCTCATGTACTTGTCAACGGAGTTTCCAGGCAGGGGAAGGGAAGAATTAGTCCTCAGAATAAAAACTTGAAACATCAGAAAGATAGTCCCTGAGGGGATTTTAAGAAAACTCAGTGGAAACTTACAGCTCTCATTGCAGCTGGACTATTGCTTCCTCCCATGTCTGGGCCAGGAACATGGATTTGATCAGAAGTTTGATGTCCTTGTGTGAAGTAGGTTTAGGGGGTCCTAGTTCAGTTCCCCACACAGTCCAGCATCACCAGCAGCCTGGCCAGTCAAAAGGCCAAGAAACAAAAGGGTCAAATCCTAGTCCTACAGCAGGACCCTGCAGATCACACCTGAGGGGTAACAGCAGAGCCGATGCCAGCCCTGTGTCCCAGGGACAAATGCAAACACGATCTCCAGCCTTTTTGAATAATTTCTGTTGGCATCACACTTCCAGAAGCAAAATGATCCATACTGAAATTTGTCTCTCACTGATAACAGTAGTGTGCCCAGGGGCTTGAAATTCCTTCACAGATATAATTTTTTTGCTTGCCCCAGTATAAGGCAGCAGAGATGAGGTTGTAAGTTTTTAGACCACTGCACCAGAATGAAAATAAACCAGAATCAGACTTTCAGCAGGCACAGATAGGCTTGTGCCTGGTCTTTGCTGGGGCCCTATCCTACTGCAAGTAAGTCCTTGACTTGGCTATGCCACATCTGACATTTACACAAATAACAGGGTGACACTACATCGTCACAGAACCTTCAGAGAACCCAAACCAGGTATTGCTGCAAGAGGAGAGACCTTAATCTACAGGCAAACAGAAAATACCATCCTGCAGCTTTGCAAACACACTGCACAGCCACTGCCCTCTGCAGCTTGCCAACTGGATGAGATGCGGCATAGGAGGGGCCCAGTAGTTCATCCTACCTCACATTAACATCAAGTTCTTCCATCACAGGCAATAGGCACAGGTAGCTGGGAGTTCAATGTCCATAGAAGAGACCTCGTCCTGCAGCGGAGAGAGTTAGAAAAGACAGTTATAAATCAAAGGTGCACATTTACCCCGGTGAAGACACCCATACACCTCATTTTTCCCCTCTGGCCTGGCTTCTATTGAAAACAGAAGTTATGTAGACATGTCAAAATGAAGTCATACCATTGCAGAGAGCTGTCATAACATAATTTTCTGTTATCTACCCTGACATATTCGTATCTCACAACGCTAAGGTGCATGCCTAGAGGCATGAAATCAAGCTGAAGTGACAGACAACCCTTGTGGTTGTGTGTACACCACCCATTCACGCATAAACTAGGGCTAACAGAGTGCTTCAACATCCCAGGGGGACACTGGCTCTATCAAAAACAACAAAAAAATTCACCTGCTTATGAGCTTCCAGGTCTTCACCTGGAAGCTAAAATTAACCTTTAATCCACTCCATGATCATCACTTCTGTGGACTTCTGGGATTTAGATTCCCAACTGCAGCAAGGTAGTAGTAAACCACTGTAAGGACTGCTTCACTAGCACAGAGAGAAGATTCTTCTGAATAAATACTCGGTTTCCATAGGAGTGAGGAGAGGCAGAATAGGCAGAAACCATACGATACCATGCATAGGACACTGATCACATCTAAGACTGTATCTGTTACAGTCCTCTGCAGACATCTTGTGTCACTTGTTGTAAAGTAACACTCTGTGTAGCACTGCCTCAAATAGTAGCAGCTCTTTGCCTCTAATTACCACAAGTGAGTTAGTAGAAAAATAGTTTTAAAAGACACAAACCCAAAGCACTATACCAGTGCACACAGGATGCCATGCTGTACCCAGTGAGTTCTGGGTGCTGGCATGGAAAGGGGCACACACAGAAATATCCTTGGTCCATCCATTCTGTCCTTCTGCAAGTTAAAACTCCCAATGACCTCAGAGAGATCCATCGACAAATATTGCCAAAGACTCTCACAGCTGAAATCGTTTTATTTCTAGAAATAAATGCCAGCAACATAAATTACTAATACAGGCACCATTCTCAAGACTTGTTCTCCAAGACCAACTTTTTATGAAGTTCATGAAAACATGTTATTTTTCAATTCTGGTGACACCGAGGAGCTGAACGCTGTGATATAAATGACCTCTTCCCACCTATGCTTACATTCAACATTGGATGCTGTTGCACACACATGAGCTGCACTGGACCTAAGATTTCCATGCTAACTTCCAAACTTTCAAAGCTATAAGAAGCAGTTTAAATACAATCAACTGAAGAAGGCTTGCAAAACCTGGCTGGGAAAACACAAGCAAGAATGCTTGGTAAATTAGTTTCTGTTTTCACACAAAATTAAAACATTGACTTACCACTACATTAAAATAGGTTCCCTGTGACACTATATTGTACAGCCTTATGAATACTTAATAGCAGTACAGTAATTACAAAGAACTAAATGATTTGCCGCTCAAGTTAAAATGAATGTACTTACTCCCAGTAACACTAAGTGATATAAATATTAATGGGATTTTTAATTCTATCAAAATTCCATCATGAAATGAAGAAATGAATACACCACCTTAATAAAGATTTTGTGTATTTGCTGCTGTTAATCCAGTGGAAAAAAAAAAGTTTCTGAGCATTTCAGACTGTTGATTGCCCCTTGTGTTTCGTCTCTAGAGAGCTGAGGATAATGCCACCACCATGGCACTATTAATAACGACTCAAATGCAAATAATGCCATTGTGGTTACTTGGCTTCAAAGAAAAGATTGTAATAATACTGACTCAGACTTCCTAGATACTATGCCAGGTTTGCACTGCAAATGAACACCCACTACCCAGGCCTGGTTCAGTGTTTGCCAGAATTAATACTTCAGTAGGTATAGAGTATAGACTATACATAGTTTTGCAAGGAAAACTTACTTGACTGAAAAGGGTGTTTTTAACTGAGGGTGGAAACTTTCAGAATTAGCCTTCAACTAGTATTTCTAAGGGCACTCTGGAATCTGGTGACTTAAAGTCTACCGCTGTACTTTGCCAAAATAAGGGTGAGACGTCTAGAGTTTCTGATCAAGTCACCTTTGGGTCCGTAATATCTGACCTCCAACTTTTATTTGGTGGGGAAAAAAGCTCTCCTGTGCTCCTGGTCTGGAGTTCTTCCATAGAACAAAACACCTAGCAAGCGGTTGGGATGGCTGCCTGTCAAAGATACGGAAGAATATCCTGGAAGATGTAAAAATACAACCTATAGTCTCTGAGCTCAAATGGACAAAAAGAAACCTAATTATTTAATCTCCAAAGAGGTTTAAGTAACCACTTTAAATCATTCATTTGTTTGGCATACAAGTTAAATTAATTTCAGTTAATTCAGATGCAAGTACATCAGAATAGGTTTGACAGGGTGCTTTGTTTCAGTGGGGTCAGGAGTCCTTTCTTCCCTGTCCTGTCATTGCAAAAAGGATAAATATGAACCAAAGAGAACAGTCTACCAACTGCAGACAAAACACATGGGATCTTGACCCATCTCCTCTGCCTGCCAGCGCAGTTTGTGAGCAGTGGTTAAAATTCTGCCTTAGAGCATCCTTCAAAAGCAAGTTGTCATCTTGGTTTACCGTGGAGGCACAAAAAGGTTGACTGAACCCCACCAAAAGGATTCAGAGCAGGGCAGAAGCAGCCCCTGGACATAAGCTATAGATACGAAACTGATCTTAGTGTTGAGATAGCACAGATATGTCACAAGGAAAATCTGGTCAAATTTTGTTGACATTGATTCAGGGGAATTTTTTCCTTTACTATGCAGAAACAGAGAGGCTTTAGTACTTACTGCTACACTGGAAAGTTATGAAACTGCTTTGCTGCAGTTCACACCTGTTACAGTTCTGAATTAGGAGGGAAATGTGCGTGGGGGGGAGCCAGTAACGGCGGGTAGGAATAAGAGAAGACAGAAAAACCATCACCTATCTGCTCTATCCCAATCCCCCATGCTCCCTTCAGTATCAGGGACTAAGAGGCAACTTTCTAAAGCAGCAAAACTCACAATTTCAGTACAATCAGAATTGTTGTTTTACCTATTCTTCAAAATGTACTTTTCTATATAGTCACCAGCACTACTGTACCTTCAGTCACAGCACATATAACTCGCTTAAAATAAAGGAAAACTTTTTTGTTTCCATAGTATTATCTTCACTTGTTTTGTGTTTATTTATACAGTAGAAACAACTTTTTGGGTATAAAATAGGAAAAACTGACGGTTTTAAGGATTTTGATAAAACTACACATTTTGTATACAAACTCCTGGTATATCTCACTGTGCTGTTAGTTGTGTTTCTGGCAGCCACCCCATATACTGTGTGACAGCCAGAAACCACGTTCCTTATATTGCATCTTACATACTATTATTTTTTCTTATAATTCTTTACATATCTCTAAACTCTGCAGTCCTGAACACTTTCCCCCCCCCCAAACATGTTATCTTTTTCCCCACAAATACAGAAACAAGCAACATTTGGGTCTGACCAGGCAATGCATTTAAAGCAACACACTCCACAGCCCTCCAGGACTGGAAACATCCCACCACTGTACAGGAGACCTATAGTATTTTAAGGGCTGTTAGTACTTTCATCTTTCCCCATATGATGAGGCATATAATGAACATATAATGAAAGAACACTAAACCAATGACATTTCTCAGCTTTTGTCAGCTTTACCATAATGGACTTTAAAAACTGGATCTTCCTTCCCTTTTGTTCTCCCCATGACATCACAGCAGTTAGACTTGTAGTCATTGGAGTCCCAACAAAGAAAAAAAAAAAAAAGACGTCGATTACTATGTAATACAAAAAAGTCTCCACAAGTTATTCTGTAAATACATCTATCTCACACAGAGGGCCTGGTGCTATTCTTTGTTATTAAAAGTGATTACTCATACTCAATTAGGAAGCTGTTCTCTGCCTCAGGAAGATAACTCCTAACACAACCCTTACACCATTCAGCCTATCACACATATATATTCCTGTCAGCACAAAAGAGCTTCTCTGCTGTTGTGCATGGTGGTGATTGCAGGCGCAGGGAGCCATGCACATCACTGCACCCAGGTCACGTTCTCCTGAATGTCCGGCTTCCAACAGCTCACGAGCAGTCCCTGCGCTGTCGCACGGGCTGAGGGCAACAGTTCTGCAGACCCATGGTCTTCCAGTCCCAGACTCCAGAGCCTTTCCATCCTGTGCTTGCTGAGAGCAGCCCTGCCCACAACTTGCCAGGTGACATGAGTGGGGTCCAGGTTTGGTTTCTTGTACAAATCTGGTTCCTGGCTTCTAACACAGGCTCCTACTCAGACATGGGTCTCCTCCGCTGGCCAGATGGGAGAGTCAGGCTGAGCCTCCACACTCCAGATACACCTCAAAATGAGTCTTCTCATATGTGTTCTCTTCAGATTTGGTACCAAGGGACTGCAATGAAAAGCTCAACACAGTAATCTACCTAAAAACTTCAATTGCCATGAGGGGTTAAACTCAAAGTGAAGTGAAATGGTTTCACTCCTTCAGGTGTCAGCACAAAATTAATTTTGATAATTCCTGCAAAACGCAAGAAAAACTTTTCAGTGATTTCGTATGTCAAAATTCCAGTTTGGGGTCATCCTGTTTGCTTGATTTTCTGCAAAATTTTGTAATTTTAACGCACACTGAAGGTACACAACATCTGTACTATTATACTGTCACGGAGAGCTCTACAATAACTGAAACTTTCTATATTAGAACAACAACAAAAAAAATTAACATGGAACTCAAAAAACCCCAAAACAAACAAGAAAAGGCTTTTGCAAAGAACTGTTCACCCAGAGAAACTTAACTGAAATCAGTACTCTTGGCAGTATTTTCACTTCAGCAAAGCACAACATTTTTTAATGGAAAAAAATACAGGCACAGTATCTCCAGAAGGCTTGACTTGACAGCTCCATAGACTTCCCTTCTGGAGCAAGAACTCCTCATCTCATTTTATTCTCCACTAATCACCGCT